AAGGGAACTTACAAAGTAGTTAGCTACTCACCTTTCATCTTCAGGATTTTTAATAACATCCATTTATTCAGAGTCAGGGCATGCATCTTCACAAAATTTGTATGTAGTTCCATGTCGAAGAGTGTAACTTAAAACTGACTTTCTGGTAAAACGCTCAGCATAGTGAGCCATTATTTACCAAAAAAAAAATCAGGTTCAAAGTGAATCAAAGTCATGTGGAGGATGTGATTACGCAGAAAATGAGTGGATGAGAAATAGAGATTAAATCACTGATGTTATATCTCGCATTGAGACAAACTATCAAAGAATGGCACACACTAGCAATTCACAATATACCTGTTAATAATTATGGAACACTGAACAGTTTAATAAGTTTACGGTCCCAGAATAGAAAATTGTCGAAGGCTATTTATTCTTGGGTGGCTTCCTAAGAGTAAACAAGTGATACCTACATGTAATATATTGTGGATATTTCTTTAAAGAGAGCCATTAAGGGAAGGACATTCAATTACTGATTCTATTTAGATTGCTGTAAATGAGAAGTAGGAAGTTTTCTTCAAAATATTTACTTCCCGAAACAAAGCACGAGGCTTCGCATCATGAAGCTTCGGCATGGTCAATAACAGTGTCAGGATTTGACCGGCCAATCTGTTGTTGTTTCTGAAGTTTAAACAAAAACTATTGCAAAAACATATGCACTCAACATTTTCAAGAAGAATTATTCCCAAATTCACTTCACTACCATGGAAACTCAGTATCTCAGTGTACTGAAATGACTAAGTAAACTAGCACAAATTTGGTCAATATTTTCGGATTTTCCAACGTTCCAAAGAGATTGCAGGTCGAGATATTCGTAAAGCAGGGTTAGATATTTTAGTTGAACGAATAACAGTTCAGAAAATATGCCAAAAACTAAAGAAATCTTTGTCAAAAGATGAAATTGATAACAGCCAGTTGGTTGTTTTGATTGGCCTCGATATTCGAACGCGTAGAGGTCCCGCTGACGGCGCCCGGTCGAATGTGTGGCAAGAAAGCCAGGGGGTAATGCCGGCGCCATATTGAATTGCCGCTAAAGCGCGGGCAAACGCGGCATTTTAAAATTTCGAAAAAAAAAGTCGAAAGTCGATTTCGGAGGGAAAAACGGCTCGAAAAAATCTGAAAAAATTACTGCGTGATCAGGAGACAATGCAGTTTCTGAAAATGCAAGAATTAGAAACAGGTTAACAAGCTCATTGTAGCCTGTAAAGCTCTTTGCTTGCTTTGCTTCTGTAGTCATAAAATGTTGATTACAGTTGCAAGAATTATCTGAAAAAGCAGTAATAAGCCTGGATTCCATCTGACAATAAACACCTTCACTAGAAAATATCGTCCTACGTTTAGCTAAATAAGGATAAATAAGCCACATATAACTGAAGGAATCAGGTAAAAGTGCTTAAGCAACAATTATAGTAAAATTATGATTGTAAAAAATGTTGAATAATGGCAAAATTAAAGCTAAATCGTGGGATAAGCACCAGTTTTCTACGAACGTTATGATAATAAATACGCCATATTGCCGATCGCGCACCTAAAAATCGAATTTGAAGTCGAATTTCAACTAATTTCAACCTCCGGTTCGTTTATGCGGAGTGCGATAACCTAGTCTTCAGTGTAAAATAAGGTTTCAAACACAAATTTCGGAAATCTACGTTTCGCCAGTTCCGTATCGTTTATGCCGTGATTTGAACCTTGGTTTCAAACTCAGGTTTCGATTGAAGTTAGGTTTAGAGGCTCGCATAAACATAGCTAGTAACTATCGGATGGAACACAGACCGCCTTCAAATAGTTCAAATGAAGGCAACCGGCAATACCCATTGTTCTGCTGAAGACTCTTCCTATCTCGATTTCCATGGCAGACCGTGGCGGGCTGAAAAAGTCAGCGTTCCCGAAGTTATGACCCATTTCTTTTCTTTGTCCTTAGAAATATACCTCTGACGCAATGAGTTTCCTGAAAAATGGGAGGTTAGGAACGGAACCCCTGGGTCACCCACTCACGCCCATCGCCGAGGCACTGTTCTTATCGGTTGACCTCTTCTGCACCACGCAAGCCTGGAAGATGACGCTCGAAGATCGCGAAGGTGGGAAACGATTACCCTTTCACTCCTCATACCATAGTTGACGTTTAATTAGGCCGATTTTGGCGAATTTTGATTAATTTTAGGTAATTTTTTCATTCCCTCTTCCTTATGAGCGGATGAGGAGTGATTTAATCGATTTTCAAATTTTGCTTCTTGCGAACGTCTTTTGCGTCCCCCTTCTGCCCCCTAGGATTTAGCTGTAAATGATGCTCCTGCGGGATGATTGTTGAAATCAATAGACAAAGCTATAGACAAAAAGACAAAAGGGGTATGGGGGGATTCTATCGGTGGAAGCGGGTGATGGCAATGGACGAAGAAGGTAGACAGTAGACTAACTAACGGCAACCCACGAGAGACCCTGTTAGTCCATCATTTTCTCCCTTAGTCAATAGGAACCAACCATTTTAATCCGTAGGATCTCTCCATACTCCCCATGTCCTCTTTGTTTACAGACTTGTCTATCAATTTCAACAATCAGCCTGCTGTAGCCGCTTTATAAAGCGCAAACCTAATTGGTTGGTCCAAAATCTCAACTCTACACGCACTCCAAAACTCTGCTACTAGTTGGCTTATGCCCATTTCGCCCGGCTGCAGCTGAAGGCATGGGGAATTACGTTGCAGGCTACGATGGCACGTCGATTATCTTTGTCGATTTTGGTAGTGCCCTTCAACTCCTTTCATCCCCTCGGCCTCGGCGAGTAGAACGCAAAATCCACCCTCCAACCTCCTCGGATCACGATATGATTTTATGAGTGAGTTTTTCGTAATGCATTGCGCTTGCGCTCACCCTGAAATCTGCTCACCTGCGATTGTCTCCAATTCTCCTCCGCTCTCTCTAATTTGACCCCGGTAATTATTCCGCTGGACGATTTGACGGTCTGGCTATTTAGATTAGCTACACCATTTGCATACAGAGTTAAGCATAGCTCCCCCCCCCCTCCCCACCGTTCCGGAGCTGTCGCAATTTGTCAGTGCGCTTGCTCAATGCTAATTAGCTATCAACAAGCGGTGACCAATAACGGATAGCGTTGTTCACCTTTCAGTTTTTCTGAAAATTACTCGCAGCGTATTGGGCTGGAATCAGGTGTCCGAGTACCGCGATTTTTTCCAACTCCTCGTGCTTCTACTCGGGAAAATTTTGAAGGAAGAGAGTTTTAAAGATACTTTTCCCTTCCTCTCCCCTTTTTCTAAGTGTATTTAGTGTAAGGACAACAGTTGAATCGGGCTCAGACAACTTTCTAACATTTCCAGGGGGCTTGGATTCTCTATACCCTCCCTTATTAGGTCAAGAGAGTTTAATTTCTTTACAGCAGCCTGATAGTTGAAATTTTTTGTTTGTCGGGACGACATAGATGACATAGGTTAAAAGGCGGAGCGTGATTGGTCGGCTATATCTTATCGCTGCTTTGTCGTGCCTTTGTCGGGTGGAATGGACGACAAACTGTCGGAAACTTAAGAGGTGCCGTTAGCTTGTCGTGAGTTCAACCCGACATAGGCACGACAAAGCAGCGATAAGACATAGCTGACCAATCACGCTCCGCTTTTTAACCTATGTCAGTCATCTATTTCGTCCCGACAAACAAAACATTTCAACAATCAGGCTGCAGGTAAAGCATAGTTGGCCGCTTTTGACAGAATGTGGGGTAAAAAAGAAATAACCCAACCCAAACGGAACTCGATTTGACAGCGAACACTCGCAATAACAACTGGACGTCTAACCAGATACTTCATTTATATACGGTCTACCAGGCCCCAGAAAATTAAACGACTCGTCTCTAAATTTTGTATCGCATTTTTAAGTGAGTTTTGTTTAAGGAAGGTAGCATAATTCTAATCCAATCGTGGATTGAGGGAATAAGGCAGGAAAAGAGGAGATGCGATCTGCCGGGGGAGCTCTGGCAGGATCGCTACCATTGGCGGTTGGGTGTCGCAGAGCGCACAGAAGCGCTATAAGAGCGACTTGTTAGTTAGTTAGTTAGTTAGTTAGTTAGTTAGCTAGCATAATTCTGATCATCCAAATTTTTGTGGTTTGCTTTTTTTCCTTCTAGAAGATAGCTACAGAATAGATTCCTTCGAAAAGTCTAGTTTCTCACTTCCCGCAAAGAAAATTAATGTCAGCGTGGATCCAAAACGTTAATTTTGATACGGTTTGTATGTTGATCTTAAGTATATGAAATCTTAAGTGCTACCTGGATTGTCATATCTGTACTCAGGATTAACGTGCTCAAATACAGATATTCTGAGAGAGACGCTTGTCATTTTAATTGCTGGTCGTTCAGTTCGCAACTTTTCAAACTCGTAATTTCTTTGCCGGCAGTGTGGGTAGTCGAGGTTTTTAATTTTTCTGTCACAGTTATCAGAACTTGATGAAATAAATTTAAAATGCCCCACCAAAAATTGTTTATTCGCCGCTGTATCCACATCGCACAGATACGCGGTATCCAGATGATAAAGTTACCTGAAGAACTTCCTTTTGTTCACGTACAGTGTTCAAAGGCATTAGGCCTGCAGTTCGATACAATTCGGAATGGAGAAATAGCCCATGAGAATCATATGCGAAAAAAATCACAGGAAATCAATGAAGGAGACTGAATACTTAATGGCTGGATATTAACTACGAGTTAACCCTGTTAATGTAGGTTGATCACAACCCTGGTAGATCACTTGTGCAATAGCTCTGCGACAGTGGAGCAATAGTCGGAAATATAGATACGTGTTGTCTTGTTACCAAACCCAGTTGGATCATTGGCATTGGAGCAATCTCTTGAGCTTTTAATCGGAAGTGTTATTGATCGTAGATTCGGCCAATTTCACAGTGTGCGGTGAACGTTGTCTCGTTGCTTCGCGGGTTCCTCGATTTATTAGGAAACTTGTCTGTTGCAGAACAGGAGATGGTGTCGGAGATGCAGGTAGTTCTGTTCATTCTTATTCCATCAATGGACCACTAGACAAGGTACAGATATAAGCCTTCTGATGCATGTTACTTAATCAAAGTTTCACGTAGAACACGATTCTTGCATCAAAAATTATTGTAATCAACTCATAAAAAAGATATTAACGTTTTAATTTTACATTGGATACGGGAAATTTGGATTGCCCGGTCACAAGAAACACAACACTCCACGTGAGTCTAATCGCGCACCTCAACGGTTTCGGCAGGCTTTTCAATCAAACATTGTTCATTTTCCACCCTTTATTGTTCAAAGTGTAAAAAATCAGCTATAGCTAAGTCAAAGCGTCAAGATCGAGATTGCCGTATTTTCGTATCGCAGAGACTGCCACGGTTGCGTTTAGTTTGCGATCTGACGTACGCAGACCATTGTGTTTTCATGGACGGGAGGTTTGAATTCACGCGTCATGATACATTAAATATCTTGGTTAGGAGTCAATTCCAGTAATTTTCGTTGTACGAATCGTGTTCTAAGTTGAATTTTGGTTAAGAAATGTGTATGAAAATGCTTAACTTCGTACCTTGTCTTGTGATCCATCCTTCGTATTTTTTTTATTTTTTTTTATTTTTACTGCATACTGTGTTTGTCTACCCCACGGCCCGCGCTGCCTACATACACACTTTAAAATAGATTAGCGCACACCGCGTCAGGGTTTTACCAAATTTCAAGATTTTTAGACGTATAGTGTCATAGTCTGTAAATCTCCTGGAGCTCAGCTTTGCGCATTCGTTTCCTTAATTTCAACAGCGGTGGACGAGCCGCCATACGTGGTCAGCTTTTAATATCTTGGACTTCTGGCTTTTGCGCTAACAAGGTAAAAGAAAAGTTGAATTACCTTGCTGAACTACCGGTTGGCAACCTCATTACAGTTATAGTTGCCAGTTCATGTAGCGCATTATTTTAGTAGATACTTTTTTTTGGTATATTTTTTGTCTCTTTTTTTGTACCAAAAACTTATAACCACGAAGGTACCCGTTTAGGTGTATACATTATTGTTTGAAAGCCCAATAAGTCTGCTGCTTGCAAGCGATACAGCCAAGTAAATAGGCTCTCTGTGTAAAATCGTACGAAAATCACGTTGGACGTCCCGTCTCAAATGTCTGAAATCTACTCCTCAAGCGCGCAATCTACGTAGTTTGTAACATGTTTTTTCAAATTTACCGCGTCTGCAGGCAGTATTCCACAGTAGCAGACAGTCAAGTTTGCCTACAGGAAAATCCAAACCCAAATAAACAAACAGTCTCGCGATCTATGAAAAAACGTCCCCTGTGTATGATTTCAATCGATTTGAAGCTTTTGTTTTTGCGAAAAAGAGGAAACCAAATACCACATAATGAAACTAATTATAAAAAGAAGAATCTTGGTATTATAAATTTGTATTAAAGGTTATTTTCTTACGTAATAACCTTTAATAAAAATGTGCAGTACCAAGATTCTCCTTTTTATGATTATTTTAGCGTACGGTACCACTCTGTCAAAAATATTTGAATACCAAAAAATTAATACAATCATATACTAGAAAAAGTTTCCGTAATTGTCTCATTTACATCTCGTATGTTAGATTTTCTCGAGGTTCTCTCAAGGCAAACCTGACTCAAGGTGCGCAAGCGCTTCTGGGGGTGCCTTTGGAAACCAGCTTCATCTACGCATTATAGGTACTTTTTTTTTCTTTCTTTCTTTTTTTTAGTTGCAAATTTCATAATGCATTGAACACCGTTACCCAGAGTCAATGTTGAGATCAGCTAGAATATCTGTGTTCCCCTCAAACCGTCTGGCTTTAACCATGCTTCTCAAGATTTTCGTCTGCATGTTTTCTAGCTTATCTAAGTTTGACTTGGCTGCACGACCCCACAATTGGCAACCATTTACATTGCCTTGTAGAGGAGCAACTTGATGTTAAGAGGTAGCCGAGATTTGTGGCCAAAAAGCCACTGCATGTTTAAAAATTTAAGCCGCAGGTGGGCAACTTCTTTCTTTATGTGAGCTCCCCACTTGAGCCTGGAATCCGTAGAGTATCGCATTGGATTTGAGTATCATCCAGAAGTAAGGGAATAAAGGTAAAGGGCCGATTTCTGGAGACAACTTCTACTGATTGCGACGCATTTAATTTAGGATTATCCTTTTTGTAGGGGTGCAGAAATTGCTCGATTACACGGGCGCGTGAAAATGTGGAAGGAAGGAACGTATTGAAGGGTCTAAAGTTGAAAATCAAAGGATAACAGACGAAATAGGTCAACTTTTTACAGATGGGGAGAGGGGGGGCATTTTGTGGAAATTTGATGAGAAAAATGTGGAAGCCTGGAAGATTCTGCTTCCCTGCCTTTTTGGTCCATTTGTGGATTTTTACGTTCCTCCCTGTAACTACGAGACGAAGCTAGCAGGGTAGCAGGGGAGTCGTCTGCGTGAATTCCAAGCCCCCCCCCTCCTCCTCCTCCCAGACTGCTGGATGCAGGCACGTATCCAGGATTTTGTTTCGGGGGTGGGTGCTTGTAGGGTCCCCCTACTACCAGGGGGTCTGGGGGGGGGTATGGAATATACCCCCTAGGGCGAAGGGGGGTCCGAAAATTTTAGAAATTTGTAATCTAGTTAGACGCATTTGAAGGCTTCCGTGACGAAAATTTTCCATCAATGTCTGCAGAAAAATTACGTTTCCTTTTTGAACTTTCAGCAAAAAATGCTTGTGTGTATTCAAAAAGATCCTGAAAATTTTTTAAATCTTAACTCTATTTGGACGCATTTCGAGGCCTCGAAATGCGTTACTCTCAGCATACAATACTTTCAAATTATATGCATTCAATAAATCTAGACAATTTTTGAAATTTAAACTCTATCTGGACGCATTTCGAGGCTTCTGTGACGCAGATTTTCCATCAGTTTCTGCATAAAATTTACGTTTTTTTTTACACAAAATACTTACGAATTGTTACATTCAACAGAGCTGGAATATTTCAGAAATTTCAACTCTATTTGGGCTAGGGGTGTTCAANGTACCGTTAAGCTACCGATAAGGTACCGTTAAGCTACCGTTAAGCTACCGTTAAGCTACCGTTAAGCTACCGATAAGGTACCGATAAGCTACCGTTAAGCTACCGTTAAGCTACCGATAGTGAGTGCGCTATCGGTATTACCCGCCTTATCGTTACTATTTCTTGCCGGAACTTTATCGATATCTTACCGACAACCGATTGAACACCCCTAATTTGGGCGCATTTTGAGGTTTTTCTGACGAAAATTTTAGGAATGAACATGGTGTTTTCATTTGAGACTCTACATTAAAACAGATAAATATCTTCGACGGTCTCAAACCTCTTCTTTTCTCGCACTTTCTCATCTTCTGTCTCCTCTTTCCTTCTCTCTTTTCCCCCTTTTTTGACTTGGGGGGGGGGG